GGCAGATTTAAGATCTTTCATAAGATTCCATTCCATGGGGGCATACTGAGCAACTGGATTGCCTCCTGCCACTGGGGCTTGAAGGATCATGGGGAAGCAAGAAAGATCTTCTGCATTAATCTTCCCATTAGCTAAAGCTTCCTGAAAGGTGTTACGAAGCAAGGGGGGAGGGGTATTAGAGGGGAAGGAGTCAGGTTTTGTAAAGGAAGATTTTGAGGCTGAAAGGCTGTAGGGAGGGGGAGGGGGAGAAGGGGGGGAGAGGAATGCGAGGAATGTAAGGCTTTTGTTGAAGGGGAGGAGGGAGGGGGGAGCGGGGGGGTGTTTGAAGACAAAGAGGAGATGGGTGAAGTTTCTGCTGGAAGGGGAGGTGGGGGATTAGACAAAGGAGCTGCTGAAAGAGCAGGGGGGGATTAGGCAAAGGAGCTGCCGAAAGAGCAGTGGGGGGATTTGAAGAAGGAGGGAGGGAATCTTGTTGATTCGAAGTTGAATCAGGAGAAGGATAAAAAATATCAATCGCAGCCATGAGCGCTCTCCAGGTACAGAGAATATGTGGCGCTGCCCGAGGAGGTTGATGGATCCATTTCCCAATTTTCTCCCATGTGGAGCGTTTAAGAGTGCCATCCTCGGAATAAGCTGGGCAATGTTTTTGAAGATAGAGGAGAAAAGATATTATAGCTTTCCTTGAAAGAGGAAAGACTGTCATGCCATTAGTTCTTTGCAGAGCATTGGCCTTCCTGACTAAAAAATGAAGTTCATCCACATGCTTGGACAGAACTTTGGAAAGTGGGGAGCCCATACTTACGAATGCGCTTTGCTGTTGCCCAGTGGCGTAGTACGGGAGTCAGGGCGACGTCTCCCTAGAAAAGGAGCACGTTGTGAAGTGGAATCACGTCGGGGTCACCAGTTGATGAGTTGCTGGTCCCATTGCAGGGATGAGGAGTCAGCTGGTAGCCCACGCCCGGACCGACTGCCCGGACGGGCTTCTCTCATAGAGGAAATGAAGACAAGGACACAAAGGCATGTTCTTGGGGGAGGAAGCCCAGAGCAAACTTTGCCCCTCTCTTTTATTGTGCAAGTTTAGGGTGGGTTTTAGGGTGTATGAGGAAACATTCCTTTTGGGTACATTTGACCATATAAGGCTATGTATTTGCATATTTGACCATATAAGGAAACTGACCATATAAGGCATACTGACCATATAAGGTAATACCTATGTTGACCAATCATAGCTTTACACATGTTGTTGGTTGTTTTGTTACCTGCCTCACTATGTTGACCAATCATAGCTTTACACATGTTACCTGGCAGGTATGGTATCATTGGATCATTGGGTGATATCGCAACACTTTTGGTTTAAAATAAACAAAATGTAGCACTTTGCGTGGTTTTATTTTCCAGAAAAACTTATTTGTTGCTACTTTGTTCTTAAATAGAATGATCCATCCAGACCTCTTGTCTGTGAAATCAGACAAATAAGTTTGAACATTCTCAGGCTTGCAACCTTCTGATATTAAGCTTTACAGTAAAAGAAGTATTGATCTATATGGCGTTGGCTTCCTACTTAAGTCTATCTTGTAGGACTGGCAATATTATAAAATGCCCTTTGTTTCAAATAGAACAATCCAGTGACATGGCAACTATCTCCCATCATTGACTCCTGACATTCGCTTCAGATTAAAGCTGAATGAATGCTGATCTAGTCTGAATTTAAAATCTGATTAGATGTTTACTGAAGTTTATACTTCTCTGTTATACTATGATGAAACAACTGAATGGCAGACTGGTCAGCCATATTTTAGCTTAATGTGTTATGCAAAACCCATCTATGTGTTGGAAGAAATATCCATTTGGTTCAGTTCCAAGTTGGGAGAAAGGCCCTGGAGACAAATGGAGGCTGGAGGCTGATTGGAAGGAGGATCCATTTATTGATGAAGCAGAACCACCATGCATGTGTAATTCTGGGTAACTGACCACATGGAGTTGAGAGTGAGTGGTTTTTATACCTTCTCTTGTTTTTTTGCACTTGAACTTCCTGTTCCTATACAAGAACTTGTATTCTATGGGCTGTTGTCAAACTCCCATGCTGCCATGTACAAATCCTAGGAGTTTGTCTGAGCTAAGCTTGGTTGAAATTTGGCTGATGCAATGAAGCGGCTTGTTGGGCAATTTCTATTGTGGCTGAGAGCTAAATCCTGCCTTTGTTCAGACTTTGCTGCAGGGAATTTTTGCCTATGAATAGAGCTACCTATCTCTTTATCTCTCAAGCGCTGACATCTGCTGAGGTCTATTAAGAAAGGTGTGGGCTGCTTTCCGAGAGCATGTTTCTTGGTTTCTCATCCGGGGAAATATTCTGCCTTTTTAATATTTTTCAAACTTTTTCATTCTTCTAGGAGAGGGGTGGGTGCTAACTTTCTACATAATAATAATAATAATAATAATAATAATAATAATAATAATAATAATAATAAT